TTTCTTTGTCTCCGTATTTTTGCTGCTTCCTTGAATTGGTAGAGTAGCTTTGTGTGGTAGGTGTCCTATATGGCCGAGTGGCTCAGCCTCCCCCAGTAGACCCTTTTGGTTCAGCCCTTTGTGGACTTTGTGCACAGCCTTGTTATAGTTAAGTATTGATTGTTGTAGGTATCTCTGGGAGGAATTGACCTCCAGGCCAATTGGTTGTGAGGATCAGCTGTGTCTACGCTGAGAGAACTTCTGTGCTGGAGACGCCCTTATGGGAGAAGACTTGGAAAAGCCTCTGTATTCAATTTGGATGGAGTGGAGTCTCAGGGCAAAACAGACAGCCTCAGCTTCCCATCAGCCCTGCTCTATGAAGCCCCTGGGTCTCAGTGTCCCTCTGTAATCGCTGCAAGCACCTCTGAAAGAAAACCATCCTCAAGTTTCGCCCGCTGCCAGACAGTCCAGTTTCTCCCCGAATGAGTCTGGTTTCCCAGAAACTCGCTCAGTGCAGTTGGGAGCTTCTGTCTCCCGTCTGCTTTAGAAAGCCAGCCACGCACTCAGCAGTCAATCCTCTCTGCGTGCGTGCGTGTGCCTCCGGACCTCTGCCTTCCACAGATCCCCTGAGTCTCAGTGTGCTTTCTCTTTTCCTAACAGTCCAGATTCCCCCCAATGAGTTTGGGTTCCCAGAGTCTTGTCCGAGACTAGAGTTTAGCACAGTCGGGAGCTTCCACCTCCTTCTCATTTTAGAAAGTCAGCCGCACACTCAACCACCCGTACTGTCAGCCGCCCATCTTCTCCAAACACATTTCCATACCTCAGTCTTTTGCAGCTCCTCTGAGTCCCAATGTGCTTTCCTCTTTCCTTCTAGTTGTAGAATTTCTACTCAGCCAGTTTTCCTATGGTTCTGGATAGTGTCCGTTTTGCATTTTAGTTGTAATTTTGATATTGATTTTTTACAGAGAGGAAGAGAGGGATAGAGAGTTAGAAACATCAATGAGAGAGAATCATCGATCAGCTGCCTCTTGCACATCCCCTACTAGGGATGTGCCTGCAAACAAGGTTCATGCCCTTGACCGGAATCGAATCCAGGACCCTTGAGTCCTCAGGCCGACGCTCTATCCACTGAGCCAAACCAGTTTTGGCTAGTCCCCTGCTTTTGCTGAAGGTGGCAATATACCCAACTGGAAGAAAAAAACTATTTTCCAAATTATATTGACCATCCTGGCCAGAGAGAAGTAAGTAGAGTTTTCAGGGAAAGGCCTTTAGAAGGGAAACACTTGGCTGGCTTGGCCTTTTGATCTTTGCCTTTTCTCTTTCCCTTCTTCCTTTCTGAAACTTGAATGTGATGTTTAGAGCCAGAGTAGCCATCTTATAATCATGAGGAAAAGGCCAAGGGAAATCTGAAAAACTTTGACTCCCACATCTTTAATATTAGCAACTGCCACAGAATCAATACTAGTAACTGCCAACCTCCAGACTAGGTGTTATCTTGTTGCTTTTTTAATCTTTTTAAAAAATTGATTTCACAGAGGAAAAGGGGGAGAGAGATGGAAACATCAATGATGAGAGAGAAATACTAATCAGCTGCCTCCTGCACATCCCACTCTGGGGATCGAGGCTGTAACCTGGGCATGTGCTCTGATGGGGAATTGAACTGTGAACACCTGATTGATAGATTGACATTAAACCACTGAAGCATGCTAGCTGGGCATGTGTTATCTTGTTTAAATCTCAGTTTGTTTGTTTTTAATATATAACATAGAAAACATAGTATCTAATTCAAGACATATACCGAACCCATCATTAAACATACTTTGGAAAGAAGTGACATTTTTGAATTTCCACCAGCTACATGTGCCTGTGATGTTAAACATGTATACTGAGGTCAATCTTTTAGTTCTCTTTGAAGAATGCTCACTTTTTCCAAGAAGAAAAATATTCCCTGCATTTATATATGAGGAAAGAAATGCAAAACAAGAAATTAAAATTAGAGCCCTTCTGAAACAAATAACAATATTTCTGTTAAATCTTGCATTATTAATAAAAATAGTTGTATGTTTTATTATGAAAATGTGCTATTTAGTGCCACCATAATAATGCTCAAATGGATTGGGAAAGTTACAGTATTTTTTTTCTCCATCCTTAAAAGTTATGTTCCTGAAAACCATGCCAAGAGAATGTGTAGCTGAGGAGCGGAAACATTTCATGAGAAACTTGGAGACAGAGGAACCAAAATAGGGGCAGGAGAAAGCCAAAGTACGTTTTATTAAAGATGTTCGCTAATATAAAACAGCCCACTAAATACAGGAAGATCATTGGCATTATGGATAAATATATACATCTTTAACAATGAGTATTATACAATTCATTTTCTTTGTTATTCCTTGCTCATCAAGAAATTTTTAGAACTTCTCTTTCTCCCATAGTTATAATGAGATTTTGTAAATCTGTTTTATTCTTATGGGAGTAGAGAGAAATTGTATTCTGCCTCAGATTTTCTTTCTCTTGCAAGGAGACTCTGAACCAACATTTCATGTTGCTGTGCTGTTAGTTCCACTGCTCTCCAACTTCCCCAGTTTCTGATCTCAGACCAACTGGGTGAGCTGGACTAGCTCAGAAGGCTCCCTGAGGCCTACCATCATTTCTTCTGTGACCATTAGGTAAGTACAAGTTTTTAAAAAAGAAGAAAGGAGGAGAGTTTAAAAGCAGCAAATGTAAGTAAGAGTACTTTGTTCATGTAACTCTGTAGTTTTTCACATTTTAGTCTCACATCCAACCTGTGAGGCAGGTAGAGTACCCCTTCCATTTTGCAGAGGGGATACTAGCGACATGCAAATAGTTAATGATAAAATGTGGATCACAGTCCTCTGCTGGTTCAGCTGCCCCACTTTACACTCTGAGGAATATTTCCTTCAAAACGGAAGACAGGATCAGTTCAAGCTCTAAGTTGACTCAGAAACAAAACAATAGTTTTCTTCAAGGAAACCACAGATTTTTGTCCTAGAATAGATCCAACTACAGGTGCACAGGAACTTCTATGTTCAAAAGCTTCAGAATCTAGAAACTTAAATAATACCTCAAACATAGTGTAAGTTGTGACTAAGAAAGATGTTTCAGTCCTCATATGAAAACTATCAGGAGGCACTAATGAGAAACTTTTTTCCTACTTTAAAAGCATCTTTTATGTTTGTGGTAAACACTCTCAATAATATAGATGGGTTTAAGATTTTAAAAACAGCTTTGTGTGTGTTCTTCCAGAAATCTTATGTGCATATATAAATTTTCTACAATACACATATCATATATTCTATGATATATAAGTTCTAGATTATATATGATCTATATATCTATATATAGCCCATGAATGGCATCATAGATTTCACACATACATGCTCAGAGATGTCACCTCTTTGCGGACAACCTGTCCTTCACCAGATCTCTTGGACATTAGAACTTCGGTTTTCTCATCCCCAGCTATTTCTTCTCTTCTACCTCATCCAGACACTCCAAAATTATTCCCTCAAAATCCATGCTTGCCTATAACTGCTACCTTAGTTGCTACTTTTTTTATTTTTATTGATTTATTTGAGAGAGAGATTTGTTGTTCCATTTATTATGTATTCATTGGTTGATTCTTATATGTGCCCTGACCAGGGATCAAACCCAAAATCTTGGCATATCAAAACATTTGCTCTATGCCCTAACCGGTTTGGCTCAGGGGACAAAGCATTGGTTTGCAGACTTAAGGGTCCCAAGTTCCATTTGGTTAAGGGCATGTACCTTGGTTGCAGGCACATCTCCAGTAAAGGGTGTGCAGGAGGCTGTTAATTGATGTTTCTCTCTCATTGATGTTTCTAACTCTCCCTCTTCCTTCCTCTCTGTAAAAAATCAATAAAATATATTTTAAAACAACAACAACATTTGCTCTAACCAACTAAGCAACTGAGGTACAAGCTATTTTCAAATTCATATTTCAAAAGAATTCAACATTACATTGCTTGTTTACAATTAGCTCAGGATTAGGTTTTATCTACCTCCCCCCAATCTGTTCTGATGTGCTTTGTGCACCTCATTTGAATGGTTTGGTTTCCTTCCTTTCCTACGAAGTAACTATTTGCTTTCCTCACTCCAAATTTTCCTGAACTGATGTTTTTTTCTCCATATTTCCCCCCAAAACCATTTATCCCTTCTATGCCCTATTCTACCTCCGCCCACTCCGCTTCCCCCAGACCTGATTCTTGTCATGCATTCCACATATGTTATAATTTCCACATAGTCTATGTCTAAAAGGAAGAAAAAGAGCCTGTTTTATTTCTTTATTTTTTAAGTATATTTCTTTATTGATTTCAGAGAGGAAGGAAGAAGGAGAAAGAGATAGAAACATCAATGATGAGAGAGAATCATTGATTGGCTGCCTCCTGCACGCCCCCTTTTGGGGATTGAACCTGCAAACCAGGCAATCGAACCTGGGATCCTTCAGTCCTCAGGCTAATTCTCTATCCACTGAGCCAAGCTGGCTAGGGCTAAAAAAAAAAAAAAAAAAAAAAAAAAAAAAAAAAAAAAAAAGCCTTTTTTACATCTGGCTTCAGAGCATAATTAGAAAAAAATTTCCGTTGTCTGTAAACAATTACTAAGAAGCTTAAATATGTTTACTGTTAATAACTGAAACCTCAAAATACTTATTTTGAAAAGAAAGAAAGCCAACCTCTCTCCTTCCTTTTATTGGCTGCCAAATGGCAACAGCCGCATCGCTGCCCCACTTCCTCAATGAGTTCCCTGAAATCCTTCCCAAATAGACATTTGCACCCAAATCTTTGTCTCAGCGCCTGCTTTTGGGAGAGCCTAAACCAACACAGTGTTCCGAATATGTGGAATGCCCTGCACTTCACTTGGCAACAAACAGTGGAGTCCAAAGGCCGCTGAACCTTTCATGGCCACTGGGACTGGCCAAGCGGCATCTGAGTTAGTGATCCTGCACATGTAAACGACAAGCAAGGGGAGTTGTTTCTTTTTTATATTTCTAAGCACTGAGAGAACAGACACAACAAACACGTTTTACAATTTCAAAACCAGAGTACAAGCTACATAATGCATGAAATTAAAAAAGCTAAATATGTAAACAAAAATACTTTCATAAATACCTCATATGCTGTCATGTGTCTTTTTCTGATTTCTTTGCTGCTGCTTTATTTTTAAATTGGGGTTTCAAGAACTATTTGCTTTGCTTAATTTTTGTCTTCTGGGCCTTTGTTAACCTCCTTAGCTTGAATGCTTCAGCTTGAATTAGCAAGCTGTCCTGGAAGAAAAAACACACCATGTCATTTCTAAATTAATTCTATAACTGTACAGAATTTGATTTTCAAAAAAGAATGTGAAAATCATCTTAGGCATGATTAATTTAGGAGGCAATTTCATCTTTTAAAAATTTTATTGAATTTATTGGGGCAACATTGATTAATAAAATTATATAGGTTACACCTGAAACCTATATAATTTTATAATACATAATCTGTATATTGTATTGTGTGTTCATCACCCATAGTCAAGGCTCTTTTTGTCATCATTTACTCTACCTTTATCCTCTTCTACTTCCCCAACCCTGCTTTCCCTCTGGTAATCACCTTACTGTTGTCCGTGACTGTGAGGTGTTTTTCCCCCCTTAATCCTTCCACCTTTTTCATACACCCACTCCACACTAACAGCTGTCAGTCTGTTCTCTTGTCTATGAGTCGGTTTCTATTTTGTTTGTAAGCTTATTTTATTCATTAGATCCCACATATAAGTGAAATCATATGGTACTTGTCCTTTTCTTTTTTAAAAAAGATATATTTTTATTGATTTTTTTACAGAGAGAAAGGGAGGATAGAGAGTTAGAAACATCTATGAGAGAGAGACATCAATCAGCTGCCTCCTGCGGCACCCCCCACTGAGGATGTGCCTGCAACCAAAGTACATGCCCTTGACTGGAATCGAACCTGAGACCCTTCATTCTGCAGGCCAACGCTCTATCCACTGAGCCAAACCAGTCAGGGCAGTCCTTTTCTGACTGGCTTATTTTGCTTAGCATAATACTCTTCAGATCCATCCACGCTGTGGCAAAAGGTAATATTTCATATTCTCCCCTCTCTCTCTCTCTCTCTCTCTCTCTCTCTCTCTCTCTCTCTCTCTCTCTCTCTCTCTCTCTCTCTGCCAAATAGTTTCCATTGTGTAAATGTACCACAGGTTTTTTATCCACTCATCTACTGATGGACACTTGGGCTGCTTCCAAAACTTGGCGACCATTAATGCTGCAATGAACCTAGGGATGCATATATTTTTTTGTATTGGTGTTTCAGGTTTCTTTGCATATATTCCCAGAAGAGGAACTGCTGGGTCATAAGGCAGTTCCATTTTAAATTTTTTGAGATAACTCCATCCTGCTTTCCACAGTTGCTGCACCAATCTGCATCCCCACTAGCAGTGCACGAGTGTTCCCTTCTCTCCATATCCTTGCCAATACTTGTTGTTTTTTGATTTTTTTGATGATAGCCATTCTGACAGGTGAGAGGTGCTATCTCACTGTGGTTTTAATTTGCATCTCTCTGATGATTAGTGACACAACATTTTTTTTTTTCATATATCTATTGGCCATCTGCATGCCTTGCTCAGAAACTGCTTCAGGAATGAGTCTGTAGTATCCAATGTATTTTGGGCACTGCATCTCCATGGGCAGGGTCTGTGACCATTTTGCCCATTACTGTACCTCCAGCACCTACCACAGTAACTGTGATATAGTGGGTGCTCAATAAATATTGGTTTGAATGAGTAAATGCATAAATCTACACAATAGTAATTCAGAATACCTGACACTCTTTGAATGTATATATTGTATTTGCAATAGTTGTTTTTAAAAGAAAATAGTTTGTATAATTTGCAAATAAAGCAATAATCTGATAGTTTATAGAAAATGCCCCACAGTTCTCCATTTCATTTCTTTTGACATAATACCATCTCCTGGATATAGTACTTTTACAAAGTAAAATAGTACTTTTACAATGATTATACTGAATAGATAGGGAAGACAATATCACCCCCATTTACCGGACAATAATTTATCCAATATTAGTGTTACTAGGTTGTCTTGCATCACTAATAATGGAAATCCTAAGTATACTGACTAATACCTATTCCTGATAATACTATTGGGAAAGGGGAGGGGATTTCTCATGGCATTAGGGACCAAGTGGGCTGCTCCTAAAATATTAGGGCTGTATAGGACAGGGCAGATGCCTGAGCAAGATTGGTGTGCTGCTCAGAAGGTGGGAGCGTATTCTGGGTAGGTACTGTGTCTCCCAGTCACCAATTAATAGCTGGGGAATTGGCACTCAAGCCTAGCTGTCCTGAAATCAAATGTAGTGCTTTTGTTTTAAGGTAATGTGCTGTAACAAACTATTCATTTTACAGAAAGTAAATCATTCAAGTTTTTGCTTGTTGTTTTGTTTCTTAATTTAAAGGTTAATACATTCCTAGAGTTCTTCTGGTAGCATTATTCTAAGTCTCCTATTAACATTATTTTAGGGAGTCTGTAGAATGTATTCCAGTAATTTTGAAGCAGTGTTCTTTAATAGTTCTTCAGTACTTCCCCATAGAGGATAACTAATGTTTCCTGTGAGCTTCTATACTAAGCCCTCATAATGCCAGAGTTCAATAAGTAATCTATACTAATAAAAGGGTATAGGGACGTCCATCTGGACAAAGCCACAGGGGCTGTGAGGTAGCCAATCAATGTGTCTATTTCACATCAATGTTTCTTTCTCTCTGTTTCTCCCCTTCCCTTCTACTCTCTCTAAAAATCAATGGAAAAAAAATATCCTCAGGTGGGAATTAACAACAAAAAAAATCCATTGAAATAAACATTGTGCCTCAAAAACTCGTTATAATGAACTAGTGGACCGGTGTACGAAATTCATGCATGAGGTGGGGGGTGGGGGGGTGGGGGGTGTCCATCAGCCCAGCCTGCACCCTCTCCAATCTAGGACCCCTCTCATAATCCAGGACTGCTGACTCCCAACTGCTCACTTGCCTGCCTTCCTGATTGTCCCTAATCGCTTCTGCCTGCCAGCCTGATCACCCCCTAACCACTTCCATGCCAGCCTGATTGATGTCTATCTACTCCCCTGCCAACCTGTTTGCCCCTAACTTCCCTCCTTTGCCAGCCTGGCCACCCTTAACTGCCCTCCCCTGCAGGGCTGATTGCCCCCAGCTGCCCTCCTTTGCAGGACTGGTCTCTCTCAACTGCCCTCTCTTGCAGGCCTGGTGCCTTCCAACTGCCCTCCCCTGCTGGCCATCTTGTGGTGGCCATCTTATGTCCACAGGGGGGCAGGATTGTTGACCACATGGGGGAAGCCATCTTGTGTGTTGGAATGATGGTCAATCTGCATATTATTATTTTATTAGATAGGATAGAAACCTGGTGCATGGGTGGAGGCCAGCTGGTTTACCCTGAAGGGTGTCCCTGATCAGGGTCAGGGTTCTTTTGGGGAATGGGGTGGCCTGAGTGAGGGGCCTATGGTGGTTTGCAGGCCAGCCATGCCCCCCAGCAACCCAAGTGGAGGCCCTGGTATCTGGAATTTATTTATCTCCTACAATTGGAACTTTATAGCCTGGAGCAGAGCCAAGCCTCTTGCTTGCTCCGTGGCGGCAGCCATTTCTGTTGGAATTTATGTATCTTCTATAATTGAAACTTTGTAGCCTGGAGTAAAGGCCTGAGCCGACCAGGGCTGCAGAAGCTGTATAGGACAGGGCAACCCTATCTATCACCCAGGGCAACTTTATCCTCTTGCTCTTCCAACTCAGTGGCTGCTGCCATTTCTATTGAATTTATTTACCTTCTATAATTGAAACTTTGTAGCCTTGAGTGGAGGCCTCGGCCGGCCAGGGTATGCAGAAAGCTTGGGTTCCTCCATTGTCAGGGAAGCCCAAGCCTCCCTCCTGCTCTCTGTGGCCACAGCCAAATTGGTTGGGATTAATTTGCATACTTTCTCTGATAGGCTGGTGGGCGTGGCTTGTGAGTATAGTAGAGTGGTGGTTAATTTGCATATTACTCTTTCATTAGATAGGATGTTAATGAAACCCTAGTCATATTATTTTCCTGTGGCTCTGTAACAAATTACCAGAAACTGGGTGGATTAAAACACTAAAAATGTAGTATTTTGCAGCCTAGAGGCTAGAAGTACAAAATCAGTATCACTTGCCCTAACCAGTTTTGCTCAGTGGATAGTGTCAGCCTGTAGACTGAAGGGTCCCACATTCGATTCTGGTCAAGGGCATGTATCTTGGTTGCAGACACATCCCCAGTAGGGGGTGTGCAAGAGGCAGCTGATCCATGATTCTCTCTCATTGATGTTTCTAACTCTCTATCCCTCTCCCTTCCTTTCTGTAAAAAATCAATAAAATATATCTATCTTTAAAATCAGTATCACTGGGTCAAAACCAGTATCAGCAGGTCCTCCCTTTGGGAGATCTAGGGGAGAATCCATTGCTGGCCTCTTCAAACTTTTGGGGGCTGTTAGCATTCCATTCCTTTCTTATGGCAACATCACATTGATTACTACCTCTATCTTCACCTCACCTTCTCATCTATGTCTATGTCAAATCTCTGTCTGCCTCTCTCTTATAAGGATGGATATGATGGAATTTAGGGCCCACTAAGTAATCCAGCATAATCTCTTTCTTTTTATATGCATTTATAGGTTCCAGGGATCAGACCTTCTTTGGGGACCATCATTCAGTCTACTACACTATGATTCCCCCCCCCCCCCCGCCCTTTTGTTCTTTTCTATTAATTCTTACCAGAGGATATTTTTTCCATTGATTTAAATATATATATATATATATATATATATATATATATATATATATATAGACACATATATATACATATATATAGTATAGTATATATATATACACTATATATATATATATAATTGATTTTTTTACAGAGAGGAAGAGAGAGGGATAGAAAGTTAGAAACATCGATGAGAGAGAATCATCAATCAGCTGCCTCCTGCACACCTCCCACTGGGGATGTGCCCGCAACCTAGGTACATGACCTTGACCGGAATCAAACCTGGGACCTTTCAGTCCGCAGGCTGATGCTCTATCCACTGAGCCAAACCGGTTTTTGGCTTTCTATTGATAAATTTTAAGGAGAGTGAAAGAGAGAGGAAAAGACAAAGAGAAACATTGATGTGAGAGAATCACATTGATTGGTTGCTTCCTGTATGAGCCCCAACCAGGGCCAGGGCCAGGAAGAACGTGCAACCAAGGTACTTTGCCCTTGACTGAAATTGAACCCAAGACCCTTTGGTTGGCAGGCTGACACTATCCACTGAGACAAATAAGTTAGGGCAAATATTCTTATAGTTGGAGGAAAGTTCCTATCAGGGGAGTACCAAGAGGTATCTTTTTCTTCTGATTTGTTCTTTCCCCTCCTTTGAATATATGTCTATTTCTGGAAGAGTAAGAAAGACGATGACTTGATTTTCACATATAATAATAGAATTATATTTTCCAAAGCATCAGTGTAATAATATTTGTGACTCATTCACAAATGTGTTTGAATGTCTTCCATCAAGAAACTCCCACAAAATTAATAATCAGTGGCAGTGGCAAGGCAACATGTGAGAACAAATCGTTTTTATCTTTTACCAAGAGATCCCAGCATGATTTGCAGATGGAATATAAAATCCTTACCATTCATCACTTTATTTATTTATTTCTTAAAATTAATATTTTAATTATTTTCAGAAAAAGATGTCGCATGAATGTTGATTAAAAAACATGACAACTAGAGGCTTGTTTTTCTGGAATTGCAAGGAAAAGAAATAACCCTTCACAGCTTTAGCAATACTTTTTTGGATCTTCTCTTGTATCAAAAACTATATATCTTCTCCCCAAAGTACCTGCTTCAAAAGCCAACCCACCCTTTCTGTCTCCCCCCTGGCTGGGACAGGCTGAATCTCCCACCACGTGGGTGCCGAGGACCCTGGGTCTCACCAGTGAACAGAACTGTCCTTGAAGCCACAACCCACAGGCAGTGGCACCCCCAGTAAGGTGACCAGACGTCCCGATTTTTAAAAATATATATATTTTATTGATTTTTTTACAGAGAGGAAGGGAGAGATAGAGAGAGCTAGAAATGTCGATGAGAAACATCGACCAGCTGCCTCTTGCACATCCCATACTGGGGATGTGCCCGCAACCCAGGTACATGCCCTTGACAGGAATCGAACCTGGGACCTTTCAGTCCGCAGATCGACGCTCTATCACTGAGCCAAACTGGTTTCGGCAGACGTCCCAATTTTTAACAATTTGTCCCTCATCCCTCGGCGTTTTAAAAAAGTCCTGATTTTTGGAAAGAATGCATGACAATCTAGGGAACTGGTGGGAGAACGGGAAGGGAATATACAGTTTGCGGGGGCCACGTGGCTATTTACGGTAGTCAGGATATGAGTTTTATATTATTTTTGTTAATTTTATAATGTTAAACTTTAATAATAGCAAATAATTGTTGAGAACTGATTATTGAAAACTGCTTATCAAAGTTCGCATTGTTGATCAGTTGTTAGAATTCGACCACTATTGTTTGGACTTAATGAACAATGGCATTTTTGGGGGATTGGCAACGATGAAAACATTTTGTAACTGTCTCTCAGATGGTACACATCGTACTGCATGCTAGTAAGCTAGTTAAACAAGTGATGTCATTACAAATCAGCTAGTCAGATAATTTAGGTAATTTATTTATTTTTCATAAATACATAAATTTTCTTGAATTTAGCAGATAGTACTCGTATTATTTATATTTTATAGTGGCGGCAAAAAGTCTAGCACCAGCCTTGAAAGTGACACGTTATGGCAAATTCAGAGGAAAAATAATACAAGATAGTGTTGTTATTATTTAGAAAGAAATATAGGATTAAAATTTAAATAATTTTTAAAATATAGTTACTTTATAACAATCAAATTAATTTAATTTATAAACTAACAATAAAATATGTTCATGTAATTATGTACCTACTTACTGTGTTTTTAAGCAATATGTATATAATAATTTATAATTTTAAATTATATTTTTTAGATTTTTAACATAATGAGTAAGAAAAGAGGATGCAAATTCAATGATGATCTAAGACGTGAATTTCCTTTTATTAAAAGAACCAAAAGCGATTACATAGTAAAATGTGAGAAATGTAATGGTGAATTTTCTATCTCGCACGTCGGGAAGAATGATATTTTAAAGCACTTGGAGACACAGAAACATAAAAGATATTTATTTTTTTTCATAAAAGATATTTAAATACTGCTGCATCTTCCTCCAAAATACAGGAATTTTTTCGGAAAACAACTAATGAGGACGAAGAAAAGAAATTAGCATTAGCAGAAGGACTTATGTCTTTTCATGCTATTAACATACAGACCAAATTTTTAATCAAGAATCCCCCCCCACACACACACACACACCCTCTCAGCTTCTCACTCCTCCCCCTTCTTTTTTCCCCTCCCCCCCCTCCGTCAAAGGTGTCCCGCTTTACCAATGTTAAAATCTGGTCACCTTAACCCACAGCCCCACTCCCAGTCTGCATGGTGGAGGCCACAGAGCTGGCTTTGTGCCCACCGTCTCAGGAAGCGAAGCCAAGAGCTGACCCTCAGCACAAATCAAGGCCCAATATGAAGAGAATAAGGGCTGCAAGCGGGGGGCAGGAAGAGGGAGCTGCTGCAGCCACCCCATCTTTAGAAACGAGGGGACCCCGGGACCCTTTCTGCAGCTGAGCTCCAGGGACAGCGCCGGCACACGGGTCTGAGCAGGGGAGAGCGGAGGACAGGTAGTCACTGATCACCTGGGGCAGGAGGAGCTGGGGACGCCGCTCTTCACAGGGCCGCCAGCCCCGCCGAGGACAGCACGCTGAGGACCAGGACGGCCACCGCGGACCGGGTCACCTGCTGGGTCGTCAGGCCTCTTCCCAGGTCCCACATCAAGTGCTGGATCCCGTTCCAGGTGTGAAACATGAGAGGGAAGGCGAGAGCAAACTTGGCCGAGTGGATCAGCACCGGCCCCAGACAAAGCGCCTTCACCGGCTCCAGATAAGACTCAAAGGTCCCCGGGAGCAGCAGCGCCGACAAGCCAAAGAGAGAGACCCCTGCGCTCAAGGCAATGCCAGTGGCGCGGTGGCTGATGGACATGGCCATGGGCAGAGACCAACTGTGGATCGTGATGTACGGAGAAATGGGGCGGTTTAAACCAGCATTCTTATTCCGGCATCTCTCCTTGTCTTCCTTGGCTGAGGTTCCCAAAGGAACAGCATGTCTGATACAGAGCTGAGGACCGAGGCGGCCACGGAGGCCATAACGGCCTGCAGGTCTCCACAGGAGCGCAGCCATCTTGGCTTCCGGCCTGGACGGAAGTGACGCCCGTGCATCACTTTGGGGTCACTGTCTCCACGTCACAAAACCAGGATGTGACCTCAGGGTCCTTGCCAAATGCCCATGTGCAGAGCAGTGTCCAGCTTCACAGCTACACCAGGAGCCCTACAGCCTTCGGTGTATTTGGGAACCCCTCAGGCAGGCATCGTTTATAAGGTCATTTTAATACCATGAAGCCTTTCTGAAATTTAGCTTAGAGTCCCAGAATTTAAACTTGTCCTGCTTTTTGCTCTCTTAAAAAGAAGAAAAAATTACCCTATGAATTAAAATAAAGTATGCTCACAGCTTTTTTTTAGTGCAAAAGATAATTTTAAATTATTTAGTAGGATTTTTTTTTAAATGGTCAAATTTAATAAAGTCACACCTATTTTTCATAATAGTATTTTACTTTTGTAAAAATATCTCATTATTGCTGAAACTGGTTTGGCTCAGTGGATAGAGCGTCTCTCTCATCGATGTTTCTATCTCTCTCCCTTCCTCTCTGTAAAAAATTAATAAAATATATTTTTAAAAATATCTCATTATTTAGTAATATATTCTATTGAGAAAGGTCTAAAAATTTGAATGATTCTTATGAGTCTTATTTCACTTACAGTGGATTCAGGAGAACATTTTAATTTTATTTCTTGCATTGTTAGTATTTTTAAAAATAAAATTCTGAGAATAAATTATTAATTTTTTTGTATCAAAAAACCTAGTTTTAAAGACAGACTTTTATTCTATTTTTAAAAAAAAATTTGCTTATTGATTTGAGAGAGGGAGAGAGACTGATTTGTTGTTCCACCTATTTATGCATCCATTGGTTGATTCTTTTTGTTGTTGTTAATCCTCATCCAAAGAAATATCTATATCTATCTATCCATATATATATTTAAATATATATATATATATGTTTGTTTTTTTGGAGGAGCAATCGTTTTATTGGTCATTTGTGCTTAGAAAAGCGGGGCTGGGGGCGGGGAGGGCGGGGCCTGGGAAGCTGCTGGTCCCGGGTCCTAGGCAGGAAGGGCGTGGCCAAGGCCCTGGCGGTGTGCTGGCCGAGAGGCATCTCTTTGTCCTTTTGGAAATGGCCCAAGACGAGGGCTGGCCCTGGCCTGACCGCCCTCCTTCAGCCTGCCGCGTGTCTGTGGCCACGGCCCACCTTGGGGTCGTTCCGCCTCTGGCCTCTCTGCCCCTGCTTCAGGGGGAGAAGCCACGGGTGGAGCAGGACTCACTGGCCAGTGTCCTCCAGCCCAGTCCTGGCTCTGGCGTTCTCAGGGTGCAGCGCCCAGGCCGAGGCAGCTCCTAGGGTCTGTGTGGCGGTGGCGGCGTCGGCAGGGCATCGGAGCCTACTGCCGCGGCCTCTGGACACCGAAGGCCGTGATGAGGATGTTGGCCACCACGATGATGAAGACGAGGCCGGTGACCAGGTTGTTGAGGAAGTCCATCTTGGCGTGCTTGGCTGGGTTGTTGAGGTCGTACCTGACCAGGAAGAGGAGCAGCGCGCCCACGCTGACCTGCAGCACCAGGGAGATGGAGATGAGGGCCACCAGGGGCGCGAAGAAGACGAAGCCGGGGCCCTGGTCGATGACGGCCTTGAGCTGCGAGGCGTTGGCCATGAGCAGGGCGATGTCCAGCATGCTCTCGGCCGCGCTCTTCTTGTTGGTGTAGTGGTTCACGTTGATGGGCCCGCCCCGGCCCCAGAGTGGGGGCCAGGTATCCGGGGCGCCGGGCGAGTCCGGCGGCAGGTCACCGTTGAGCTCGTATCCCTCGGGGGCCGAGTCCATGGTGCGCCTGGCCGCCCGCTCCCCACTGCGGTCTATTTAAATATATTTTTATTGATTTCAGAGAGGAAGGGACAGGGAGAGAGAGATAGAAACATCAATGATGAGAGAGAACCATTGATCAGCTGCCTCTTGCATTACCCTCCCCTCCCACCTCACTAGGGATTGAGCCTGTAACCTGGGCATGTGCCCTTGACCTGAATCAAACCCTGGACCCTTTAGTCCTCAGACTGATGCTCTTGCTTATAAACCTAATGTTATATCTACAAGAACAGACTCGAAAGTAATTTTCTGTAACTTTTAATCCTCAGGTTCTATAACATTAGCCTAAGTAAGTAAACCTAACATGTCCACAGGATATAGAAACATATCCAAGCTGCTCTGTTCCTAATAAGTGTAGATTTGAAGCAGTCAATATTATCACCACAGACACTTCTCCTGGCTCTCAGAACTACTGTTACCCCAGCCCAGAATCAGTAGGTGGACTACCCTGTTATCCCAGCTCACAGTGTTGCCCACTCCCACATTTGTCATTCCCTGGGGTGAAGAGACTGCTGTAGGTCTCAGGACACAAGCCAGGATTAGAAAGTTAAGAGAATCTATTACTGCCTGAGTACAAAGAACACATTCCTCTGCCTTCACCTAGGGCAGTGGTCGGCAAACCGCAGCTCTCTGGTCCTTTGAATTTTTAGCAAAGGCCAGCTTAGGAGTACTATAATTAAGTTAGTAACATTGTATCTACCTATATAGTTTAAGTTTTAAAAACTTGGCTCTTAAAAGAAATTTCAATCATTGTACTGTTGATATTTGCTCTGTTGACTAATGAGTTTGCCGACCACTGGCTTAGAAGAACAGGTGTTGCTACCTGACTGAAAAGTGTGCAACTGCACTTCTTCTCTTTTCCAGCAGATGGCAATGAATAATGCCAAAGAGAACGATTCTAGCCAAAGTCAGGACACTGAATATTTAAAAAAAAAAATTTTTTTAATACATTTTATTGATTTTTTTACAGAGAAGAAGGGAGAGGAATAGAGAGTTAGAAACATCTATCAGCTGCCTCCTGCACACCTCCCACTGGGGATGTGCCTGCAACCAAGGTACATGCCCCTGACCGGAATCAAACCTGGGACCCTTCAGTCCGCAGACTGACACTCTATCCACTGAGCCAAAACAGTTTCGCTGAATATTTAAAATTCTTAATAAAATGTCAACTCTTAAAATATTTAAATTTTGTTTAAATTATATAAAATAGAAGGCCTATAAAAGGTACTAAGAATTGCAAACAATTATAGCAGAAGCAGTCACCTTAAAATTTCAACAACAAAAAAACAGAACCCTAAACTTTATTTTATTTTTAATATATTTTTATTGATTTCATAGAAGAAAGGAGAGATAAAGATAGAAACATCAATAATGAGAATCATTGATAGGCTGCCTCCTGCATGCCCCCTACTGGGGATAGAGCCTGCAACCTGAGCATGTGGCCCTGGCAGGAATAGAACCCGGGACCCTTCAGTCCACAGGCCAACACTATCCACTGAGCAAAACTGGTTAGGGCCAGGACCCTAAATTTTATATAAAATTTTTATATAAAAACGATGATACGCCGGGACCGGTTTGGCTCAATGGATAGAGCGTCGGCTTGGGGACTGAAGGGCCCCGGGTTCGATTCTGGTCAAGGGCATGTACCTTGGTTGCGGGCACATCCCCGGTAGGGGGTGTGCAAGAGGCAGCTGATCGATGACTCTCTCTCATCGATGTTTCTAACTCTCTATCTCTCTCCCTTCCTCTCTGTACAAAAATCAATAAAATATATTTAAAAAAAAACAAAAAAAAAAAAAAAAAACAAACAAAAAAAAAAAAAACGATGATACTACTGACTAATGCCAGTGGTAAAACAGACAGGACAGTCTGTTGATGACCCCAGCAGGTTACTCTGGGTTGCCTAAACAATGAACCAACTGTGATCAAAAGCCTCCCTATTTCTTCCAAATTCGGCTTCCCATGGCACTGGTGGCTTTCTCCCTCTCAGCAGGAGGAGCTGAAACTTCCCATGGGCACCCAAGGAGTCCAGATACAGGCATCTGGTTCTCTCAGATAACTCCGAACAGTTGACATCTAAAACCAGACAGCCTGATACCAAGTAGTCTGTGTGGACCCCCTTGATAAGGATGTTCACCATCTTGGTCTTAAGAGAAAGCAAAAGAAGAGAGGATGCCCCTTCAATGGAATGCTCACTTATGACATGTGCAACAGAGTACCCTGGGCCCACTGTATCCCCTGTGCCTTCTCTTGCAGACTTTTGGCTTTCAAGTTCCTAAAAAGCCTGTTCTTTCATCTATGACACTGAATTTCCTGAGCTCTCTTGCATGACAACATATGTTTTAAGTTGCTTTCCAGATGATGAGCATTCCTTGTGTTTCTATAGTTTCACCATTGCAATCTCTCAGGGAATAAAAAAAAAAGTGTGAGACAGCCATCTTTCTAATTAGAAGTAAAACCATGACGTATTCTAGTAGGATATCTTTAAAGTGCTTAAAATGCACTGTTAGGATTTGGTATGAGACTTAAGAAATCTTTAATTTTCATTTCTCTGTTATTATTTATGGTACTATTGGTTTAATTGATTTGTAAAAATTACCCTGGTATTTTCTGCCTCACATATCTATAGAAAAATGCAGTTTGCTGAACACCCCCTTTTTTCTGTGGATTTGTTGGCATGACCATTGTGACATCTACTTTAAATCTTCCATGCTTCAAAATAAAAGTGTAAAAGAGCCTAACTGGTGCCGCTCAGTGGTTGAACATGGACCCATGACCAAGAGGTCATTAGTTCGATCCCTGTGGGCTTGATCCTCAGTAGAGGACATGCAGGAGACAGCAATTGATGTTTCTATCTCTCTCTCCCTTCCTCTCTCTAAAAACCAATAAAGAAAAAAAACAAATTTTAAAAGTAAAAGTATAAAAGATCTTGTCAATCATACAACACTCACTGTAATGATTTTATCGCTCCTTGTGACATGTTTGCCATAAACAAAATCTTTTATCTTTGGCCTACACACCTGATGTCTGAAAAATGAGAGAATAGCTCTCTAAGGTTAAATTGCAAAAATTCCTATTGCACTAACATACAAAAATGGTTATTCTCTTATTGTGTTTGTGAGTGTTTGAGGGCCCAAACTTTTTTGTCACACCATGTGAATAAATTCCATAAGTCTAAGTCATTGCTGATCACATTCTTAATGTAAAATTATAAAAAAATCTTTACAACTTTTAAAAAATATATTTTATTGATTTTTTATAGAGAGGAAGGGAGAGGCAGAGAGAGTTCGAAACATCAATGAAAGAGAAACATTGGTCAGCTGCTTCCTGAACACCCTCTACTGGGGCTGTGTCTGCAACCAAGGTACAGGCCCTTGACCAGAATCAAACCTGGGACCCTACAGTCCACAGGCTGACACTCTATCCACTGAGTCAAACCAGTTAGGGCTTTACAAGTTTTTTTTTTTAACCTTCATACACTAAGTTTAACTGGTTCCTGAGTTTATCTGAAAAATACTAAGTTTTTCAGATAGAGCAATTATGAAAAACCCCAAAGTTGAATAATCTATGTAAGTAAAAAAGATCATGCCATCCAATATATAACTAAAATAATTAAATCTATGAATTTTAGTAATACTTTTTTTTTTTAATCAATCTTTATTGTTCATATTATTACATAGGTTCCTCGTTTCTTCCCCCCTCCACCAGGTTCCCACCCCACCCTCTGCCCCCTCATCCTCATCCATTGGTGCACAGTTTATGTTCAGTCTCTTCCTCCCTCCCTTTCCCCGATAGTAAATCCCTTTTCAGATAGCAAATCTGTTACTTAGCATTTTCTCATATCAATAATACCTCCACATGCCCAATGATACACTTCACACAAAAGACATTTCCTAATAGGACAACCAGCCTCATCCAGGCCCCACCCAAGGCACTCACAGATCAACATCCCAGGACTATACTAACTCAACACATCCAGATATAAGCCTTCATCACTTGATTCAGCAGACCCTCAAGTTCCCACAAAAGTTTCCAGCCATGTCTGAGAGGCAGCCGTGGGGCAGGGGCAGGTGAGGAGCGAGCTGTTTCAGGCCAGGCTGCTCCGGGCCTGGCCTCTGTTGCTCTGGTTCGTTCCACAACCAACTGCTCCGTGTCTGGTCACTGCTGCTCCTGACCCAGTTGCTCTGGACTTGGCTGTTGCTGCTACAGGGCTGGCGACACCCGACTCGGCTGCTCTGGGCCCAATTGCTCCGGGCCCGGCCGCTCCGGGCCTGGCTGCTCCCAGCCTGACAGCCGCTTCTCCGGGCCTGGCCGCACCAGACCCGGCTGCTTCGGGCCTGGCCGCTCCCAGCCTGGCAGCTGCTGCTTCGGGCCTGGCCGCACCCAGCCTGGCAGCTGCTGCTCCAAGCCTGGCCGCTCCCAGCCTGGCAGCCACTGCTCCGGGCCTGGCCACACCAGACCCGGCTGTTCCGGGCCTGGCCGCTCCCAGCCTGGTAGTTGCTGCTTCGGGTCTGGTCACTGCCACTCCCAACCTGGTTGCTCTGGACTTGGCTGTTGCTGCTACAGACCTGGCCACACCCGACCCGGCTGCTCTGGGCCCGGTTGCTCCAGGCCCGGCCGTTCCGGGCCTGGCTGCTCCCAGCCTGTCAGCCGCTGCTCCTGGCCTGGCCGCACCAGACCCGGCTGCTCCGGGCCTGGCCGCTCCCAGCCTGGCAGCCGCTGCTCCAAGCCTGGCCACTCCCAGCCTGGCAGCCTCTGCTCCGGGCCTGGCCACACCAGACCCGTGAATTTTAGTAATACTTTTAAGTAACAGTCATCTATTCAATATTAGCATACATCAAAGGCAATGGTTTTCTTTTTAATATATTTTTCTTGATTTCAGAGTGGAAGAGAGAGGGAGAGAGAAATAGAAACATCAATGATGAGAATCACTGATCAGCTGCCTCCTACATACCCCACACTGGGGATCAAGCCCACAACCCAGGTATGTGCGCTGCCCTGGAATCGAACCATGATGATTTCCTGATTTATAGGCCGAAGCTCAACCACTGAGCCATGCTGGCCAGGCCAATGGTTTTCTTTTATTTATTGACTTATTTGACCTACAAATGGAATCATACTGTTTTATAACTTGCTTTTTCCACTTAGCAATATACTTCGACATCTTTCCATCTCCTTCCTTTAAGAACCCCAATACATGAATATCATTATGCTAACAATGTTTGATTTGTTTTCAATCTTCTGCTATTATGAACAATGCTGCAATAAATATCCTGTACATATATCTTTGTGCCCTTGAATGATTACTTGTATTAAGAGTAATTGTTAGAGGTAAAATTGCTGAGTCAAACAATACAAATATCTAGGCTTTTAAGTTACTGCCAAATAGTCCCTTTAAAAGGCTGAGCCACTTTATATAAACACTGTATCAGAGTAAGGCAGTGATTTTCAGACTTTTGTTACATGGGAACTCTGTCTTTGAAAGAAACCCTTTAAAAAAAAAAAAAAAAAAAAGGCTTTTCAGAATCCAGAAATGGAAAGCGGAAAGGGAACTTTGTTTTGGTGAAAGCTGATATGGAGTGGGAGGCCTGCAGCTCTGGCCACTGGCCCTGACCTTAGCCTCTGTGGCACCTGCATGTGGCCTCCTGGAGCACAATACAATATAGGCAGTTTCTCTTTTTCTAATATAAAATGTTTTCAAATATGTTTGACTGGCTGAAAGTAGAACTAACATGATATAAGACTTAAGAATTATTATAAAATCCCTAATCACACCTCAATTTCAGACACAATTTTCAGTAATTTAGCACTAGCACTTTGTATTCTTTCATTGATTTCTTTCCCTTTACATTGAGCATATGATTATAGCTAAGTTCTGTTCCTTTTAGATGGCCAAATGATTTTCATCTTTGTCTTAATTGCACTAAGTGTATGAAACCTAAACTTGTTATCACTGGAATTAGCACTTTCATTTTTCTTTCTCTTCAGTTTAATGAGAAGGGCAAAATGTAAAAAAAATATATATATATTTAAATAATTATAGAAATAAAGGTAGTGATTATCAAAACTGAATTGAAAACTCTTGGCTGTATCACCATATAATATTAATTTATTAACTCGTATATAAAAATTTGAACAGAAGGAAAGGTGGGTTGGGGTGACTGTGGAGTATATAAAATGGCAGGTGGTAAAAATTTGAAGAACCACTTATATATCATTGTGATCAGTGACCTTTTTCAGTGGTTTAGAAGCCTATTTTCAATTTTTTCTTTATAGTTTTATCAAAATTGAACAAGCCTGTCATTGCTCGGAAGACAATGAAAGAAGGTTGTGCTAGGTACAGAATACATAAATGTCCACTTAGGCTATGGGGCCATTTGTACTGGTAATCTTGGAAAACCTGATGCTCCTCTCAGACCTCTCACTACAGATGTAAGCTTTAGTGATATTCCAAACTAAGGCCTCATCTCCCCCCAATTTTCCAGGAGAAAGCCAGTCTCTTTTTTTCTTCTAAACTTTTTATTTTTATTATTATTATTATTATTATTATTATTTTGTATAGCAAAGGTGGAGATTTATTGAAGATCAAGTACAGACTCCCACGTGTGGAGAGGGAGAGTCTCACAGAATGGACTCCCCAAGTAGGGAGGGGGAAAGGATCCCTCCTCTAAACTTTTTTACTTTTATTATGACTTTTGTCAGATTGAAGAGAAATCATCCAACGTTTATTTCAAGGTTGTTTCACATAGGCATAATTACGGTTATTATTTTTAGCCAACCAGGTATTGTCCCTTTTTAAAATAATTACATGATGTTTCTTAAAAGCATTCAGAAATCCTGTCTCTTTAGAGACAAGGATGGAAAACACTCAACTATCTAAAAGGAGCAGATTTTAGCCTCAATCAGATGCTTATTGTGAAGGAAGAAAAAAAAAAAAACTCAGTAGGAAACACATAGAAAGCTAGAATAATTTTATCCATTGACTCAACAAATCTGAGTTCCTATGAAGCAATGCACTAATTGCTAAAAGAGTACAAAATGTATAAACCAGGGTCACTAACTACCTTTAATTTATGATCCGATGAGGACAATTAGGCATACTCCCTCAAAAGTTACATGATGATCTAAAGTATTTTAGAATAAAATGTGAAATGTGTCGTACTGATTATAATTGCCATAGAAGACCCACCCTTTTATACTCTCAGTTTATTAACTCTTTGTAGTTTCACTAGAGACCCAATGCACAAAATTCGTGCAAGGAAAGGCCAACCTTTCCTTCCCCCAGATGCTGGCCCTGGCTTCCCTCTGGCACCCGAGACCTGGGCTTCCCTTGCTGCCCCGGCTTTGTCTGGAAGGTCGTTTGGTCTAATTAGCATATCATACTTTTATTATTATAGATGTGCCCTTGTACCAGTCTAGCCTTCATGCCCAGCCACTGTAATTACAATACAACAACATCTCAGAATCTTTTGCCCACTTAGTCTTTCATATCTGCCTTATCAATCCCCTATCCTGAGTAAACTTCACTGTCTGCTTTCTCAGTTTATTCTCCAGTGTGCTAAGCATAGCTGGAGAGAACTATGTGCTCTGCTTTATCTGACTCTCTATGTGATATCTCACAATTCTTCCAAATTTTACTTACTCACCTGGAGCTCTGATCCCAGAGACTCCTGCATCTCAGCCAGTGACATGACCTCCTTTGCTGCAGGAAGCACAGGCATCCAGCTTGATTTCACCTTTTATCTTTCCAATCTAAAGTTATTTTCTGATCTTCACTCTTCCTTTCCAAAAATAACTTATCTACCCTTTTCTGATGATCCTCTCCCCTACAATCTTCCTCCAGAATTTGACCTAACCATGATTTCCCCTCTTGTGGGATCGGCACTCTCTGTCTCCATTGGCTCCTTCTTCTCAACCCCCAAACATGTTTATAAATATCCTATTCCCACACCTCCTGCATTAGTTATTCCTGCATAGCAAATTACCTCAAAATTTAGAAGATTAAAACAACAAAAACATATCTCACAGTATCTGTAGAATATAGGATCAGCTTAGTTGATGATTGTTCTGGCTCTGGATCTCCCAGTAGGTTGCAATCAAGATGTCTTTCAGCCCAGTTGGTGTGGCTAACTGGTTCATCATCAACCTATGAACATGAAGGTCACGGTTCAATTCCTGGTCAGGGTACATATCCAAGTTGCCAGTTTGATCCCCTGTAGGGAATGTGCAGGAGGCTGCCAATCAACGATTCTCTCTCATTAAAGTTTCTATCTCTCACCCTCTCCCTTCCTCTTTGAAATCAATAAAAATATATTTTTAGAAAAGATGTAATTCAGAGCTTAACTTGTGGCTGCAGAATCCACTTCCAAGTTTGAGTTTCCTCACAACATCGCACCTGGGTTCCCCCAGAGTAAATGATTCAGGAAAACAAGGAATGGGTTTTATTAGTTACTTGATGCCTAATGCACGAAATCCGTGCACAAGTAGGCCTTCCTTCCCCCAGCGCTGGCTTCCTTCTGGCACCCGGGACCCAGGCTTCCCTTGCAGCCCCAGCTTCATCCGGAAGTACAGAAGGACTTCCAAAAGAATGTCTGGTCTAATTAGTATATTATGCTTTTATTATTATAGATTCTTAGAAGTGGTGTACCATCACTTCTGCCTTACTCTATTTGCTAGAAGTAAGTCACTAAATCCAGCCTACACTCAAAAGAGCACAATCAGTCTCCACCTCTTATAGAAAAGATATTCAAAAATTTGTGGACATATTTTAAACCCACCATATCTCTCACATATATCATTTTTCTTTTTTTTTAAATATAGTTTTATTATTTTCAGAGAGAAAGGGAAAGGGAAAGGAAGATAGAAACATCAATGATGAGAGAGAATCACTGATTGGGTACCTCCTGCACGGACCAAGCCTACAACCAAGGCATGTGCCCTGACCAGGAATTGAACTGTGACATCCTGGTTCATAGCTCGATGCCCCACCACTGAACCACACTGGCCAGGCAAATATAACATTTTCAAGCCTGCTAGTTCTTCAAGCTACTCTGCTGCTTTCTTACTCCTTTCAGTTATTCCCTTCTCTTACTTTCCCATTACCAAATATTCAACTGTCGGCAGTCCAGATAATTATCACCTAACACTATTGCTGTTGACCATAACATTCAAATTAGCATGGCATTCAAGGCCCTAGAAAACCTAGTCACACCCTACCTTATCATTTTCTCTCCCCCAGTTTCCATTACATCTCATCCAGATAGACTTCTCATTATTCCCAACACATCATCTGCTTTCCCAACTTAGTTCTTTATCAGATGATTTCCTTCATCAGGAAGATCCTCTCCTTACTTTCTCATTGTTTAAGACCCAGGGCAGCCCAGCCAGCATGGCTCAGTGATTGAGCATATAAACCAGAGGTCAGTTTGATTCTCAGTTCAGGGACATGCCCAGGTTGCGGGATCAATCCCCAGTGTGGGGAGTGCAAGAGGCAGCCAATCAATGGTTCTCTCTCATCATTGATGTTTCTACCTCTCTCTCCTTCTCCCCTTCTCTCTGAAGTCAATAAAAATATTTAGGGGGGTGGGCGGGAGAAAAGATCCAGTACAATTGCCATTTCACCCAAGAAAATTTCCTGATCTTCACAACCATAAATATCCCTTCCCTCCTCTGCACTCCCAGAGCACATTGTCAACTTTACTGTAATATGTGTTGGTGTATACCTTTGTATTCCTTTTAGCTCTCCAACAATACCTTGCTCATTCATATTAAGTTCTTAATCTTTTTTGAATGGATACATTTACCTAAATCATTAAGATTTTATTTTAATCTCATCAAAAGGCAAATTAAAATCCCTATAATCTTGAACTGTATTAGACTAATATATTGAGCTAAGGGAAATTGCAGAATGGTCTTTGCTAAAGAAGAATAGAGTCTCTTCTATTATTTAAAAAAATTTAATGGGGTGACTCAAATTAAATTGTGATTATTTTCCAAAAAGCTTTGCTTCTGAGATATGTTTGCATATAGTATTTTTACAGTTCCTAGTCAACATGAAATTTCCATGGAAACAGATCACACACACTGGAGAAGAAAGGAATTGACTTGTGTTTGAACTGCATTTTGTCATCTCCATGGAGCTATTTGTGCTAAATATTTGAGTGCGCAGGGAAACTATAATTTAAAATAAACTAAGTAAAGGCATACTGTTTAATGCTTTTTAAAATAATAACTGCTATTAGTTTTAAAGATTTTTATTAATATGTAGAGAAAATAGAAAAAGACATTTAAAAAATTCCTTGACTCATACATTAATATTAGCAAATCAAATACCCAATTGCTTCTTTACTAATGCAGAAAAGGGAAATAAATTAAATACTCATCATGAAAAGGGTGGTGTTGCTGTTTTTTGGTCTACAGATAAAATAATTTCTTCTGAATGTATCAGTCTAGTCTAAATTTGTTGTCTAGCAACAACAAAGCAGCTTGGTTCCCCCAGAGCAAGTGCATCAAGAGAGCAAGGAAAAAGGAAGCCCTAATGCTTTTTATTAGCCAGTCTTAGAAGTGGTGTACCAGCACTTCTGCTTATTCTATTTGCTAGAAGTGACTCAATAAACCAGCCGACACTCAAAGGAGCAGAATCACTCTCCACCTCTTAAAGAACTCCAAAAATTTGTGGACATATTTTAAACTCACCACATCTCTCAAATATACCATTATTTTCAAGCCTGCTAGTTCTAAATTTGTTGTCTAGCAATGAGTTGTCAAACACTTTTGATTCCATATATGACTATTCAAATAGGGACAGTTTGTTTGGAATACATGTATAGAAACTAAAAGATAAAAATACTTTTACTCACTAAATAGTACTGTAAACCCTTATGATTTGAGAAATGCATCATTTTCCTAAGCACTGTGAAACCTACCCAGGAACTTAAAATAACTAGAAATACTGTATTCTTGAAAAGCATCTTTTTTGATTTGTTAATCCTCACCTGAGCATATTTTTTTTCAGTGATTTTTAGAGATAATGAAAGGGAGGAGCAGAGAAAGAGAGAAAGAGAGAAAGAGAGAGGTGAGAGAGACACGTGGATTGGCTGCCTCCCATGCAGGGATCACACCTGCAGCCCAGATATGTGCTCTTGACCCCAAACCCTCCAAGGGAGCAGGCCAATGCTCTAGTCACTGGGCAATGCCAGCCAGGGCAAAAACTATTTTTTCTAATCTGTCTTTGGAATATAAATCTACCTTCATACATAAAAATTCTTATAAATGTATTCCAACAACACAACTCATTCAAGAGGTATCAGATACAGCTCAGGATTTCCTTAAAATTCTCATCCAACATCAACTGTTGACTGCTACATTTATATTTTAATAAATATAACAAAACAAACATAACACAGACAAAAAATACAGACGTTCTATAACTTGTTGGTTGAAAATGTGCACATAGGCTATAAAGAAGTTAAATCACACTTACATCACTTGTTCCACAATCATTACAACTGTTGGGCTTAAATGTTAATGAAAGACTGCACTTGTAGGAGACAATTTAAATGTATTAGTAACAGCCCTAGCTGGTTTGGCTCAGTGGATAGAGTGTCAGCCTGCAGACTAAAGGGTCTCAGGTTCTATTCTGGTCAAGGACATCTACCTTGGTTGCAGGCTCCTACCTGGCCCAGGGGCCGTGCAGGAGGCAACCAATCAATGTGTTTCTCTCACATCACTGTTTCTCTCTGTCTTTCCCTCTCTCTTCCACTCTCTAAAAATCAATGGAAAAATATCCTCAGGTGAGGATTAAAAAACAAATTAAAATGTGATGTGTGAGAGAATATATACCCAATCAGATCAAGGTGGTGTAAAGCAAAATTTGAAGAAAAAAAATTTATTAGTAACACACATTGCTTGTTTTTTATAGACCAACACTGTATACCAAAATTTACCTTGCAAAAAAAGACCACATCTCTTACTCTGATGTGGGCAGACCTGAAAAATATAAGAAGGTAAATGTCAAAAAAGCAGCAAAGCCTGGGCGGGTAGTTCAGTTGGTTAGTGTCATCCGCATATGCCAAGGTTGTGGGTTCTATCCCTGGTCAGAGCACATACAACAATCAACAAATGAATGCCTAAATAAGTGGAATAACAATTTGATGTTTCTCTCTCTTTAAAATCAATTATAAAAAATAAAAAATAAAAAGCACCAGAAAGCAGCCAATGGAGAGTATCCTTTCCATTTGGCCAGATTTAATTAATCTCTGATAATTATGCTCCAGTGGAAATTTGAATGAAGGCTCTACCTACCCTGTTTCCCCGAAAATAAGACAGTGTCTTATATTAATTTTTTCTCCCAAAGTTGCGCTAGGTCTTATTTTCAGGGGATGTCTTATCTTTCCATGCACTAGGTCTTATTTTCGGAGGATGTCTTATTTTCGGGGAAACACGGGTAGTTGACTGAATGACACTTTCTCCATTTGGGGAAGGGCTGCCTCCGGAGCCAATCCTGTTTCCTCACAGGCTTTATAGGACTGCCTATCCTTTCATTAAATTATTTGCTTAAGGAGGTAGGAAGAGCTCCTATAGGCTTTGTCTCATTTATAGGAACCAGATTACCTTTTCTGGGGCAGCTGTGGCTTTGATTGAACCAAGTGACAGCTCAGAGGCTCAGATGTGATTACATTATTGACTCTTCCACATGGGATGTGAGTTTAGTGGATAGAGGACCATATGCCCCAAAGAAAGGTAAACCTAAAATCCAAGATGTTGGTGACACAGGCAAAAAAGAATGAAAAAACCCAAGTTACTCAGGCCTGGAAAGTGAGACTTTGATTAGATTTAATGAGAACCTACACACCACAGATAATCTATTTTTCCTTCAGATTCATTCTCTAGCCCACTCTATGTCCTGAGAGGCTGACCTATATGGACTGTGTCCCTTTACACTCTGACTTCTAGTTGTGTTCAGAGACTCTGGAGGGGGCTGATACCGGTAGGAAATTGGTAAAGGAGTGAGGAAAGGATGGTTATTTCCCTGGCTCCCTCCCTGCCACACAGCCATTTGTTGGCACTTCCCATCTGCTAAAATCACCACTCCTGTCAGCGGGCTATCACAACATACCGTGTTTCCCCGAAAATAAGACATCCTCCGAAAATAAGACCTACTTACTGGTTTCCTTCTGAGTGAAAAATAAGGCATCCCCTCGAAAATAAGGTCCCCCTAGGCTAAATGAGAGATTTGGTCCACTGATTCTAAAAGAAATGGAGTCACAAGAAATTCACCTGGAAATTCAGGAATTGGATTGTTATGATGATGTTCCAGAAGATGATGACATGATTGTCATTGAATAAATGAGTAAATTCTTGATACTGTAGGATTCACAGTTTGTCTGGTTTGTGTTGACAACTACCATACTACTGTACCATATACAGGTAATAAATTTCCTTTATTTTCATTTAACAATAAATGTGTACCGTATTCTTCTTCATGGAAAAATAAGACATCCCCTGAAAATAAGACCTAGCGCATCTTTGGGAGCAAAAATTAAAATAAGACATTGCCTTACTTTTCGGGGAAACAGGGTAGGTCTTCTTCAAGGGGGTTCAGCCACCATTCCTTCCCCTTTCTAGCTTAGGGATGGACTCGGCTCCCTGCTGTTACTAGCCATGGGGTACTACAACATCCTTCGTCGTTTCTAAACCTGCCTTTATCAATACATTTTTGTTGTTGTTATTATTAATCCTCACCAAGGATATTTTTCCATTGAGTTTTAGAGGGAGTAGAAGGCAGAGAGCAAGAGGGAGAGAAACATCGATGTAAGAGAGACACATTGATTGGTTGCCTCTGCCACATGCCCCGACCAGAGCAGGGAACCTGAAATCCAGTGCAAAGGCCAACATTTTAACCACTGTTCAGTGGCCAGCCAGGGCATAAATAACCTCTTTAAGGCCCGAGGCATGAAATTTGTGCAAGGGGCTCAGCCCTCGCAGCCCTGGCTTTTCTGGAAGATCATCTGGAAGGACATCTAGAAGGTTGTTCAGCTGTCTAGTCTAATTAGCATATTATGCTTTTATTATTATTATTATTATTATTATTATTATTATTATTGATTTTGTACAGAGAGGAAGGGAGATAGTTAGAAACATCAATGAGAGAGAGTCATCGATCAGCTGCCTCTTGCACACCCCCTACTGGGGATGTGCCCACAACCAAGGCACATGCCCTTGACCGGAATCGAACCAGGGACCCTTCAGTCCCCAAGCCAACGCTCTCTCCATTGAGCCAAACCGGTTTCAGCAATGCTTTTATTATTATAGATCCTTAATTACCCAGTTTGATGGTACCACCTATTTCCTGAATCCTAATTGATCAGATGATATTGATTTTCAACAAGAAATCTCAGAAACAGTTTATACAATTTTACTAAATAACATTCATATTATGGAGGTATTTCCTTGTGCACAGCATATTTTATGTTTAAAAGATTTCCATGTCCCTGAAATGATCCTTGAGGTGAGCTGCTTTCTGTCTCTACACGAGAAGGACTAAGAGCAGTCCTTTATTCTATCCTGGCAATTAACCCTGGGCATATTTATAAATGAGTAGCTTTCCCTCAAGATGTGGCCAGTCTGTCAGACTACACTTCAGTTCTGACAACTGTTTTTCAAATTCAGCTCTCTGCTGGGACTGGAGCCTGACATTAAACCCTAGCCTTGTAAATTTTGCCAATATTTCCCAATGGATTTGCTTTTTCCCCATTGTCTTTCAGTAGCTGGCTGCTTCCTATGTCACCAAAAATGGATCTTTTGCCCTGATCCTGAACCTAAAAACTGGCTAAAAAATTCCTTCTGTTACAATACCCCTGTCCATCAGATGGGAATCATATTTGCTGATTTCTCTTGAAATTTTCTATTTGGACTGCTAGCCCTTCCTTAGAGCCTATACCTATTGGGTGACTTTTCCTCCAGCTGTCATTCCTTCTACTTAGACTTCTACAAATAGGATTCTGGAATACTTCATGGCCAAAGTTATATCACTCAGGATTAAAGCAAACTTAAGAGGAATGAACAACACAATGTTCAAAATAGAGAGACAAAAAGACACACACATAAAAAAAAAAAAAAGGCAAAAAAGAGAGACTGAAAGGAAAAAATAGGAAGTGTGCTTTTACTTTTAAAAATATATATATATATATTATTGATTTTTTACAGAGAGGAAGGGAGAGAAATAGAGAGCCAGAAACATCGATGAGAGAGAAACATCAATCAGCTGCCTCATGCACATCCCGTACTGGGGATGTGCCCACAACCAAGGTACATGCTCTTGACCGGAATCGAACCCCGGAACTGCAGGCCGACTCTCTATTCACTGAGGCAAACCGGTTTCGGCAGAAGTGTGCTTTTTAGTAAAATACTAAAAACAACGCATTCTAAGCAACCAATAGAGGTATTTGTCAGTTTATTAATGAATTGGCATTTTAAAATCAACCATTGTAAATCAATTCCCTAAGGCTTAATCACTGTAAATGAACATCAAAAAAAAATTTTTAAAGCCTGAGGACCAAGATCCTAAAATCAGGACCCTAAAAAACAATTCTTGGGCTCCAGAATAAAGACTATGAAAAGAAATAATATTAAATATCCAGAAAAGAGGAGAAAGGTTAAAATTATGGTATTACTAACAGGTTAAAATTATGGTAATACATAAATTATGGCATTGGAAACCTGATTACTTGGCATTTTATTGATGACCAAGGCTCATCAATAACTACCTATAGTCATACTGCTAGTTTTGGGGAAAACGAATTTAAATTGAGGCTTGGTTGTTTTTGTTTTTGTTTTTAAAAAAACATTTTTGATCAAGTCATGTTATGGTTTGTTGTTTTTTAAAATATATTTTAATTGATTTCAGAGAGGAAAGGAGAGAGGTAGAAATATCAATGATGAGAACCATTGAATGGCTGCCCCCTCTTATGGATGAAGCCCACAACCCCGCATGTGCCCTTAACCAGAATGGAACCTGGGATGCTTCAGTCTGCAGGTTGACACTCTAGCTAGGGGTGTCGAACTCAATCAGAGAAGGGGCCAAAATCTAAAATCCAGCCTAAATCGCAGGCCGAATGGTTTACTGAACAGTCATAAACTGTCATTGTGATGGAAACGCAGCGGAGTGCAGTGATGACAGCGCGGTGCGGGCCACATTGCAAGGCCTGGCGGGACGGATTTGGCCCGCGGGCCTTGTGTTTGACACATGTGCTAGCCACTGAGCCAAACCAGCTAAGGCTAAATGGAGGCTTGTTTAAAAAACTCATAATCTTCTCTATTACCCTAATATATAAATATGACAAAATATCGGGCAGCTCTTAAAATAATAAATATGACTCTAGCCTCTGAACATCATTCTCTGGCAATCTTTAATCTGAAAGTTTTACCCCGTTTCCAGGTCTCTGTGGAGGTTTTACTTTTCCACAACTTTGTGATTCTTCTACACTCTCTGGGTCTCAAAATGGTAGACTTTCACAGCAAAGCTAAAAATTATTCATCACAGTTTTATGATTACCCAAAGAGAATTTTATAACACTTTACCAATTGTTTTGAATATCCTAAAGAAACAAATCAGGGACCCATTTTTTACAGGTAAGTCACCACGATTGCCTTAAAAAGATTTCATGTAAACGTTTTCAGACATCTCCTATTGATACCACAAACCCAAAGACCATATATATATATATATATATATAGTCATCCAAAAGTTGGTTACCAACCTCTACTCCAAAGACAAGCTTAAGCTTAGTCAGGTCTTAGTAGTTAAGTGACCCTCCACTTCCTCAACAATGATTTTGGAGGTTTCACTGTTCACTGAAGCCTCCAGCAGGGGATTGTGGGGGGAGGCAGGTCCCTCCTCTCGCCCCCACCGCCCCACTCCCTCCCGCACAGGCCTGCCCACACCTTCACTACGCGGGCAATGACCCCACCTTTCCGCCTGGGCCTCGCCTCTCCCTCAGTCTCACACGCCCGCAGTGGGCCAAGCCTCGGAGAAGAGCCTGCTAGTTATGGGTGCGAGGACACCGAACCCGCTCCTTTCTCCGGGGCCGACATTAAGCCCCTGGCCCTCAGTTCCCAGACTAAAGAACGGGGACGAACGGCCCGGCGCACGGCTCTGCGCACGCGCCTGGCTCCGTCCCGCCCAGGCATTGGCGCACGGAGGCTGCAGCCAATCAGGGCCGGCCTCGCCAGCACGCCCCCGGCCGCGCCGCGCGCGCGCGCGCGCGTGCGTCCTCGTTTCTGGGCGGCCTTCGAGCACAATGGTGGACGCGCCGACGCTCTCGTCACCGCGTTCCCGCGAACCGTCACCCATGGAAACGGCCTTCCCCGAGGGGAATTCGAAGCCCCTTCAGACTGAGGGGAAGAGGGGGCGGGGAAGAGCGTGGAAGGCTTTTTCACTGTAAAGGAAAAAAACCTTCACTCTTCTCACACACACCCCCTTCTAGCTTCTCAGGATAGAAACGGCCTCTGCGCTCAGATAAATAGATGTGTTAAAGGCAAGAGGCATTTTTCTCTTAAATGGTAAGTGTCATGAGGTAACGTGGTATCATTACGTTACCCAGAGTTCCCGAGGGCCCACGAGGCGTGTCTCCGGTCCCTGAGCCCCTTCACCCTACCTCAGCCCCCGGGAGTGGGTGGAATCCTTACCCGATTCTGTAGTTTACTTGTATTTTCTGATCATCAGAAGGAAGCTGGTTTTTTAAAATGCCTGCACCCTCAAAAGTGTACAAAAGTACGTAAAACGTATGTAAAAGAAAAATCCAGACACAACCTCGCCATCCAGAAATAATTCAATATGTATACACGTGTAATTTTCTTTTTTTATTTATTATTTTTTTTAAATTATATTTTATTGATTTTGTACAGAGAGTAAGGGAGATAGAGAGAAACATCGATGAGAGAGAGTCATCGATCAGCTGCCTCTTGCACACCCCCTACTGGGGATGTGCCCGCGACCAAGGTACATGCCCTTGACCAGAATCGAACCCCGGACCCTTCAGTCCCCAAGCCGACGCTCTATCCATTGAACCAAACCGGTTTCAGCTGTAATTTTCTTTTAATAGAAAAAAATGTGATCATATTAGTAGTATGTTCTCCCAGTAATGTCTCATATATTTCCAGGTAAATTAAAAGGTTACACAATCATTTTTAAAGAGTCTAATGACACTTGGTAGATATAATATGTTCAACCAGTCCCAAAATAGAGAGTTTTTCACTTGTATAAACAATACCAGGTGACTATTCATATACATAAATGAATACATATGCCTGATTGCTTCCAATAAATTCAGAGAAATATAATTACTGGGTCAAGGGAAATGCACATTTGTAAGATTATCAATATGTTACCAGACTCCCCCCCCACCTTGAAATGTATTTACAGTAGTCCCCTCTTATCCATAGTTTTGTTTTCCGCAGTTTCAGTTACCTGAGTCAACTGCAGTCCAAAAATATTAAAAGGAAATTTTAAGGAATAAACTAAGTTTTAAGTTGGGTGCTGTCTGAGTAGTGTGATGAATCTTTTGGTCTGTCTCTGTCCCACCCCTGATATGAATCACCCCCTTGTGCAGTGTATCCATGCTGTATGCATAGTACAATAAAATATTTTGAGGGGGAGAGATAGCACATTCACATAACTTACAGTATATGGTTATAATTGTTCTATTTTATTAATTATTGTTAATCTCTTACTGGGGATCTTGGGTCTGTACCCCACAGATAAGAGGGGACTATTGTACAACTTTCCCCCAAAAAAGATTACTATGTGAATAACAGCTGTTTCATTGCTAATCTTGAGTATTGTCAATCTTTGTGATCTTTATCACCACTTAAAAATCTTTAATCATTTTTATCCTCATTTTAATTTGCATTTTGTTGACTAAGTGTAAATCTGAACATCTTTATTTACGGATACACACACACACACACACACACACATACATATATTATTTTTTACTTTAGAGAGGAAGGGAGAGGGAGAGATAGAAATATCAATGATAACAGAGAATCATTTATTGGCTGCCTCCTGCACACCCCACACTGGGAATCAAGCCCACAACCCAGGCATGTGCCCTGATTGGGAATGGAATGGTGACCTGGTTCATAGGTTGATGCTCAATCACTAAGTCACGCTGGCTGGGTTGAACATATTTCATATATTGGCTCACTTTTTGTGACTTGCCTGTTCATGCTATCTGCCTATTTTAAACTTGAAATTACAAGTGTTTTTGTATATTATTTATACTATTAACCTTTGTATGAAATATAATTAAAAATTTTTGCAATTTTAAAAAAATATATTGATTTTTACAGAGAGGAAGGGAGAGGAATAGAGAGTTATAAACATCAATGAGATGTTTATAGTAGACAAACAAAATATAGAGATTAAGGGAATTTGATATCTCTTAATATAGGCACATAATCCTTTATACAAACCCTTTGGGCTAGATGTGTTTCAGAATTCAGAGTTGTTGGAATTTAGGCAGGAATATATGTATCTAGCACATTTTCTGTAGACCTGTGCAGGGTTTGGAGCAGCAGCTTGTAATATTAATACCTCTGCAACAAAAATGCATTAATATTAACCCTGACTAGGATAAATAAAGATTATATAACTTATATAATAAGCACATATCTGTTTAGGTCATATTTTGCTGCCTAATGAGTTTGCCTTAAAGTTACGAAAAACTTTATAGAACTTTTTTTGATTTTGTAATTTTATATAAGGCTGTGTAGAGCCATGAAAGCAAATTATGTTCAGATATTGAAATTATCTGGCCAGCTCTGGCAACAATTAAAGCATTTTTTGATTAGATTATATAGCCTTGAGGTTTAGCATGTTTAGTCTAAAGGGAAAAGAGAGCACTTTTAGAAGAACAAAATACAGAAGTTGAAGTAATTATTGGAAGAGTAATAGGTAAAGTATTTTAACTTGCATTCTTGACCTTTGTTGTTAGTCATTATTTCAATGTGAAGTGCTTTGGTTGAAAAGAATTGGAATAAACACACTTCCTAGAAAATGTTAACATTTAAAAACTGCCATTTTGCCATAATCTGTTTAGCTCAGTGGATAGAGCATCGGCCTGCAGACTGAAGGGTCCTGGGTTCAATTCTGGTCAAGGGCATGTACCTTGGTTGCAGGCACATCCCCAGTAGGGGGCGTGCAGGAGGCAGCTGATTGATTTTTCTCTCTTATCAATGTTTCTAACTCTCCCTCTCCCTTCCTCTCTGTAAAAAATCAATAAAATACATTTATTATTTCATTTTTTAAATTATTATTATTATTTTTTATTTTTTAAATAAATCTTTATTGCTCAGATTATTACACTTGCTTCTCCTCCCCCACTCCCCCATAGCTCCCTTCCACCAGGTTCCTGCCACACCCTCTGCCCTTACCTCCCCCCAAATTGTCCTCATCCATAGGTTATACTGTTGGGAGCCAGCAGAGTTGAGGCAAGCAACTCAGTCTTAAGGAAATAGAATTAAGTTCCTTCTAGCAGAAGTTATGCGGTGCCCTGAGGGCTTGGCCAGAAGATAAGATTAACCTGGGGCTTAGCATCTTCCTGTCTTCCTGCCTCTTCCCCTTCCTGATCCTCCCCCCCTAGATAGCCCAGCCTTGGAATGTTGTACCTTGGAATGTCACACCACCTCTGGCAATTAGTCAATCCTGTGTTGCCAGATACCAAAGACCCCCATGCATAGGCAACCCTGCCCCCCTTTGTTTCTGCTGTATAAATACAGCCATTTCAGAGAATAAAAGTTTGAGGCTTGATCAGAACCTTGTCTTGCCTTCATTCTTTTGCGTTCCTTGTTTGTTTCATTCTCTTAGGTGGTTCCTGCGTGCCCCGTTGTTGTCCCGAGGGCCGGGACACTCATCCATAGGTTATACAATTTTAATCCAGTCTCTTTCTGTACCCCCACACCCCTTTCCCCCTGATAATTATCAATCCACTCCCTTTCTTTGCCCCTGATTCTATTATATTCACCAGTTTATTCTGGTCTTCAGATTTTTTGTGTGTGTTTTTTTGGTTGTTGTTGCCAATGCAAAAACTAAACCACATACATGTTATTTTCAAAACTTGAATGTCAAGAGCAAAACTCTGGCTATTTTAAATAATAACAATGCCAATGCAAAACAACAAAATGAGAAATCAGAATTATGGACATATTAATATTTTTAGCTACTAAGTGTGTCTCTTTTGTTGCTGGTGTAGATTTACTCAGAGTCCTTGGACTTGCTGCATAAGACTTTGCAGGAGACTGAAAGCTAACAGATGCTAGCATGAGCAGGAACATGATTAAAGAAGTCTTCAACTTCAGTCTTTAATTTCTTCAGATGACTCCATGTTGGCACCTCAGTCCAGCCTTCAGTTTTCTTCTCCCACTTTGCTGTCTTCTGGGCAACTCTCAGTCCTTTTGGGTGAAGGGACACAGGAGCTTCTCTGAGTCCATTGTGATGACGGACATAACACTCTGGTACCCAAATTGGCTGCATTGCTCCTTCTTTCATTTTGAACCCAGGGTTCAACCCCACAACACTCCGGGCCTGGCTGCTCCGGGCCTGGCTGCTGCTGCTCTGGGCCTGGCTGCTGCTGCTCCAGGCCTGGATGCTCCGGGCCTGGCTGCTGCTGCTCTGGGCCTGGATGCTCCAGGCCTGGATACTCTGGGCCTGGCTGCTGCTGGTCCTAGCCTGGCTGCTCTGTGTAGGAGACAGCTGGTCGATGTTCCTCTCTCATTGATGTTTCTAACTCTCTATCCCTCTCCCTTCCTCTCTGTAAAAAATCAATAAAATATATATATATTTTTAAATACAGATGCTTTAAAAAATAATATTCATTTACAATTCAATATATAATTACACAATTTTTAAATAGAATCAATAATAAAGACTGTTCTGTGGATGGTAGTGTTAATACATTTTATATTTTGTATAGTGATTTCAGGCCTTTTGTTTTCTTAAAATCAGCAGCTATTTAACCTAATTCTGAGCATTACTTTGTCCTTTGTGCCACAACTATTATATTTTGTGCAGTCTTTTTGTGATGTGTTAAAAATCTGCATTGCCAACATTGTTGCTCGAACTTAAACTTGTTATTCAAGTAAATATTTAATTTTTATTGCTCT